AGTAGTAGTAGTAGTAGTAGTAGTAGTAGTAGTAGTAGTAGTAGTAGTAGTAGTAGTAGTAGTAGTAGTAGTAGTAGTAGTAGTAGTAGTAGTAGTAGTAGTAGTAGTAGTAGTAGTAGTAGTAGTAGTAGTAGTAGTAGTAGTAGTAGTAGTAGTAGTAGTAGTAGTAGTAGTAGTAGTAGTAGTAGTAGTAGTAGTAGTAGTAGTAGTAGTAGTAGTAGTAGTAGTAGTAGTAGTAGTAGTAGTAGTAGTAGTAGTAGTAGTAGTAGTAGTAGTAGTAGTAGTAGTAGTAGTAGTATAATAGTAGCAGTAGTAGTAGTAGTAGTATTAATAACACTAATCAGTACTATATTTAACATAACTAATGTTTTTGTTATTGTTGTTATTATTATTCGTAGTAGTAGTACTATATTGTTTCATGTTGCTGTTTTTACTATAAGTATACATACATATGCATATTTATATAACGAAATGAACGTTCCCCAAATTTCGGAAGCTGATTACGGATCTGCATCAGAACAGGATCTCCGTCGAGGGAAAAGCGGCCCGAAGGAGCGCACGCGACCCGCTCGGTCTCTGGGTTTGCTCGGGCTCGATTTGCCTTTTGGTTTTAGCATTCTATTTTGTATGTTTTTCATACAATTTTTTTTTTCGGTGAGTCGGTTACGCTCTGTACAGGGGATTTGCATATTCTTTTGCTGCTATTTTGGCCGGAAAGGGAACGGGAGGAGAGAGAGAGAGAGAGAGAGAGAGAGAGAGAGAGGGAGGGGGGGGAGTGAGTGTGAGAGATAAGGAGAAGATAGAAGTGGAGAGAGGTAAGCGAGAAGAGAAAAAGAAAATGAGGAAATGGAAGGACAAGGAATCTAGAGAGAAAATGAATGAGAAGGGGAGAGGCCGAAAAAATAAAAAAAACGGCAATAGAACGTTAACGAAAAGGGGAAGAGAGAAAAGTAGATCAGAAAAAAGCTAGAACGAGATGAGAGTGAGTGTAGTATAGAATGAAAGCGAAAGTGGACAGAAGGAGAACAGAAAAAGAGAACGACAGGACAAAAGAGAAGCGGAGGAGAGGGAATGAGAGCCGAAGGGAATAATCGAGGGCGATAGAAAGAGAAAGGAGAGGAGGACAAATAAACACGACAGACCACATGACGAGGAAAAACGGCCGGAGTGAGGGCACAGGACGCCCGCGGCCGGAGTCTTGCAGGAGGAGTCTCGGGCGTCCCTTTCCGGGCGGAGGCCATCGCCGTCCGCACGCCCGCACGCCCGCCGGAGAGCCACTTCTTAACGGCGCCGTAAATCCATCGGATGGCTTCGGGCAGAGAGGCCGTTGCGCTAATGACCCCGCCTGCTCTCTCTGTATTTCTGCCTATATTACGTTTTTATTATTATCATTAATGTCGTGGTTGTATATCTATCATTTATATATACATCTATATAGAGAGAGAGATATAAATCTGTTTATCTATATGGCATTTTATCTTTTTCTCTTTTACGCTTTTTTCTGATCCTCTTCCATATTCTTTCTTTTTCATATTTCCTCCCCCTCATTATTCTTCTGCCTCTTCCTCCCCTTTCTTTTTTTCTCCCACTTCTTTTTCTTCCTGTCAGTCTCCTTATCCCATTCGCAATTTTCTTCCCTCTTTTTCTCCATCTTTCCCTTCTTCCTACTCCTTCCCCTCCCCCCCCTCTCCCTCGTCCTCCTCCTCCTCCTCCTCCTCCTCCTCCTCCTCCTCCTCCTCCTCCTCCTCCTCCTCCCCCTCCTCCCTCCTCTTCCTCCTCCTCCTCCTCCTCCTCCTCCTCCCCCTCTCCCTCCTCTTCCTCCTCCTCCTCCTCCTTTTTTCCCCTGAGAAAGAGGAATGGCGCACCGCCTGGGACTGACAGAAATGCAAATGAAACCCGAGAGAGGAGGCGAACCCTTCATTAACAGGCTGGAATCAGTAGAAGAATATCTGTTGTGTCAGAGTGTGTGCGTACGTGTGTGTGTGTGTGTGTGTGTGTTTGTGTGCGTTTATGTGTGTGTGTTTTTTTTAGAGTGCTATTAAATCTTATACCAAGTCGATACAGGATTAGAAATAGATATTGTCTTTCCCATACCCATTTTTAATTTGTTTAGATGATTATTTTAACAAATCTATATTTATTCTTTAGTGTATTGATTGACGTCAAAGCGTCTATAGCTGACAGGCAAACCCTTATCGAAATACGAAGCTTCACACAAGGAAAAACTCCATTGCAAAGTTAACAAAGCGCTGTTCTGGTGATTGCAGTCTCTCCTCTGGCAGACGTCGCCTTTGACGAGCACGAAGAATATCAAACAGGTCCTGTGAATGAAGAAAAACTATTCCGTCGCCATCAATTTGAAGCCGATGATCAATGTTATTGTGGTTCACGAGCCTTGAACCGCCCTTGCCTTTGGTGTCCCGGATGAGAAAGGAAATGGAGAGAGGAGTGAAGAGACGAAATTAAAAAGAGAGAAAAAGGGAAAGAAAGGAGAGTCGGA